GGAGTTATTCCGGAGAGATTTTGCGGGGAGAGGAACCCAAACCTGGTGGAAGTGTGTGTTTTTTTTTTAAAAAAGCTTTGGTTTCCAATATTTTTGTACAGTATTTTATACCAAACAGTTTTTCTATTAATGTTGCATGCTTTGGACCCTGAGATGCTCAGGTGAAAGGCAGGAGCATGATTACTTTTAAATAAAAAGTAAAAATGTATTGAACAGCATTCGGTAGCTTTGAAATCGGCGACCGTTGTTCAAGCACGTCGGGGTGCCTAGTGAGTACGTGGCAGAAGTAAAGATTTGACTAGGGGCTTTCGCATCCCATGGCTTGTGCATTGCTATGTGTGTTTCTCCACGATGCTTGTCATTTAAGGGGTGGTGACGGGTTAGTTTTAATCAGCTGCTGTTAACCATGGTAGATTGGCAAACCCTTAATGTCCGGAGGTGGTGCTAGACCTCTGAATTGCAAATGCTTGGGATAAAGGGCTTTGCCACTATGCATGTGGGGTGTGGCTGGCTGGCGATTGAAACCAGATGCTGGACTGGCTCTCAATCCAACAAAGGGCCTTCTTGGTGGTGGCTCCAAAAGGGTAGAACTCCTCTCTAGGGACATTAATATGTCCCACTGTATCACTTACCTTCACCTGCTGACTGAAGACTGTGATAGAGGGGGACAGACAGAGCTTTTTGTTCCCTTATTTGACTCCCCCCCCCATTCATTTTTAATTGCTGTTTTTTCATTAATTTTAATGGTTGTTTTTTAAAATCTCTCTTTTTCAACTGTATGCTGCCACACAATCAGGCCCCTTAAGGCAGCATACAGTTGAAAAAGGGAGATTTAAGGGATCTGCCTTAAACGGCCTAATTGTGTGGGATAGTGGGGTAAAATGTTTTAAGTACAATAAATAAATCTAGCAAGGCAGTTCTTGGAAATTAGCAACGAAAGGGTAAACTTTGATATGGGCCTGGTTTGGTGTAGTGGTTAAGTGCGCGAACTCTAATCTGGGAGAACCAGGTTTGATTCCCCACTCCTCCACTTGCACCTGGCTGGATGACCTTGGGCAAGCCGTAGCTCTGATAAGAGCTTCTTCTTGAAAAAGAGCTGTTTGTGTCAAGAGCTCTCTCAGCCCCACCTACCTCACAGGGTGTCTGTTGTGGGGAGGGGAAGGGAAAGGAGTTTGTAAGCCGTTCTGAGACTCCAAGTGAAGGGCGGGGTATAAATCCAATCTCTTCTTCTCTTCTTCTTTTTCTGGTGGATGTGAGGGCGATCCGGCTGCGACATCTGTTACCCCATTCGTCGCCAGGGTTGTGTTTCTGGTTCCCCCATCCTTTGCTTGCTGCCATTGTCTATAACAGTGTCATTTACCCGTCCTTCTTTTTGCTGTCTTTGCAGTATGTCCCAGCTCTTGCGGCAAGCACGCGTGCATGGACCAGAATGAATGTTGCCACCCGGAATGCTTGGGGAGCTGTACGGCACCAAACAACAACTCCGCCTGCGTGGCTTGCCGCAACTACTACCACGACGGGGTTTGCGTCCCCACCTGCCCGCCCAACACCTACAAGTTCGAGGGCTGGCGCTGCATCACCCGGGAGACCTGCAAAGAGCTGTCTACGGCGGTGCCGGAAGACGAGAAGTTTGTGATTCATGACAACGAGTGCGTGCCGGAGTGCCCTCCCGGGTTCATGCTTAATGACTCCCAAAGGTAATTCTCGGTCCCTTGAAGAAGCACATGGGGGTGCTCCCAGTACTTGGTGAGATGCACAGATAGTGGAAAGGGTCATACTTAAGATAATTTATCTGCCTGGGGTATGACCATAGTTTCAAAGTTTTGGGCACGGGTGTCCAATGCTCCCTCTAAGCTGTGGAGTCCTGTGAGCAAAAATTCTCCTTTGTGAGCTACTGGCATTAAAGTTGTGAGCAAGCGATTTGCCTACTGCAGAAATTAGTCTGCTCTGGAGTAGAGATGTGAAGGCCTGGAAAAAAACCCGGAAAAATTTGGGGGGGAAACGGTTTGTTTTCGTTTTTTTCCTGAAGCCTTTTTGGTTTTTTTCCGAAAAATTGGAAAAATTGAAAAAAGAAAAGAAAAGAAAAAAATTGATTATGGAACGTTTTATGTGAACATGATGAATAAAATATTTTAAAACAAGGTGTTCAAATATTTTCCAAATCATTTCTAAAATATATATATATGGTATCAGATTGATCTAATTTCTGTGCACTGAGGACAAGCAAATCCTAGGTTACAAACTGAACTCTCCAATGCAAGAACAAGATGCATTTCTTCCTTTAGAAAGTGCGATTTTGTCAGAAGAAAATAAAAAAATTTTACATCTCTACTCTGGAGCCATCCCTTCCTGAGCTAAGACAAAAATGTGTGAGCCGGAGGCTAAAAAACTGTGAGCTAGCTCACGCTAACTCAGCTTAGAGGGAACACTGCCAGTGTCTAACTTCTGAGCACCTGAGTAAGCGGGTGCAGGTTTCTTTGTAGCTAAAGTTGTCAACTGCTCGGAGAAGAAAACGCTCAGTATTAGAGATTTCAGGGGCTGTTATTTATAAGCGTTATTTACCTCCATGCTGTGAAAAGTTTCACCTGCCAGTTTCCACTCAGGACACTTTTCTCCGGGCCTGTTGGCAATGCTACATGTGGGAAACTTATTGTATTCATAAATATCCATGGGGGTGGTGTGGTTTGCGTAGAACAGCAGAAACAGTTCCTGTTGGATGGTAAGTTAAGACTGGTTTCTGTACAGGCAGAAGGGTTATAGAGCTCCATGGAAAAACAGAAGACCAGATAATATATTATGAACTGTACTCCAGATTGTGTTATTCCGTTTGCAATCTTTATCCTCTCCAGTTTGGTGTAGTGGTTAAGTGCGCGGACTCTAATCTGGAAGAAACAGGTTTGAGTCCCCACTCCGCCACTTGCAGCTGCTGGATGACCTTGGGCAAGCCATAGTTCTGACAAGAGCTGTCCTTGAAAGGGCAGTTCTGGAAAGATCTCTCTCAGCCCCACCTACCTTACAGGGTGTCTGTTGTGGGGAGGGGAAGGGAAAGGAGTTTGAAAGCTGCTCCGAGACGCCGAGTGAAGGGCGGGGTATAAATCCAATCTCCTCCTCCTCCTCCTCCTCCTCCAATATGCTGTGATTTTCTATATGCAGGTAGAGCTTTCTTTCCATATATTATATTGGGGGGGGATTTAAAATCCCCACCTCCTGCCCTTTCAATATATATTTTGGAAGTAGTGCATAGTTAGTGCATAGGTAAATTAAAAGTAATGCACATCGGCTGCAACTTGATGGCACTTTCCACATAGTTAAATGGGGAACTCACCAACTTGGAGGGCTTTAATATAGGCATGGACAAATCCGTGGAGGATGGGGTTATCAATGGCTGCTACTCAGGGGTCATTTCGTAGAAAAAGAGGTGCAGGAGCTCACTAGCATAACTCAGCATAACTTATTTGCATAGGCCACACACCCTGACATCACCAGAAGTGTGTCAGAAGGCAACACCCACCGCTCAGGCTCCACTGGACTGTTTTGGATTGCTGGTTATTGGGGAGGGGAGATGTGCAGATCTGTCTTTGCAGAGGAGGAAGAGCTTCTACCTGAATAAAACTTGGTCTTAAAGGTGCCACTGGACTGTTTTGGGCGGCGGTGTGTGTGTGTGTGCTCTGCAGCTTACCTGGCTGCTTCTTGCTCTGACTGAGGGCTGCTGGGAGCAGGGGGTGGGGCTTGTTGCATGTGCCCGCCCCCTGGGCTCTTTACTGCCGCCGCTCCGCTTCTGTGCGCTCCTGCAAGAAGAAATGACCCCTGCTGCTACTCGTGGATATCTACTCCCTCCGGTACCAGAGGGGACACGGACGAGGAGGACGCTGTTGCAGTCTGCTCACTCATGAGCTTCCTAGAGCCAGCCGGTCAGCAACTGTGTGAACAGAGTGCTGGACTTGATGGGCCTTTGGTCTGATCCAGAAGGGCTTTTCTTATGTTCTTAAGTGATGCGGTTCAGGAGCAGATCTGCATTTCTGTTGCCAATTCTATTAAGTGGCTCTGGTGAGTGATGGACCATGTATATACCAGACATGCAGCTGATAATATAACGTGCTTCCATATTCACGGTCAGAAATGGGATACAGTGAAGACTTAATTCACTGTTTATGATTAGTGCTTCTGGCCCTTGGGATGGAGTTGGCTACAAGTCTGTTCAAATAACTCCACGCCAGAATTTCAGGCGATGCAGTATTTCGGGCTGACGTTTGATCTGTGGCCATTGTTACACACAGGAGTCCATCGATCAGGTCTGCTCTGTGTGAACAGCGAACCTGTTCTAAGGTGAAACAGGGGTCGCTTGTTTTGAACGCTCCCAGAGCTAAGATCCCTGCCCGTAGAAAACTAACACAACAGGAAGAAGGCTGAACTAGAACACTTTTTTTTATCCTTCTTCCTGTGGAATGCTTTTCAGTGTTCTGTTGCGTGAGTCTCCTAAAAAGGTACTGTCCCAAGAACCAAGTTTTATCACTCAGTGGTTTAGTGTATTTAATTATTTACTTACTTTTTTGGGCCGTCAGGTTGTAGTGGACTTATGGCAACCCCGCAGGGTTTTCAAGGCAAGAGACGAACAGTGCTTAGTTCTTGTGGCCCTTGCTTACACGCCCAGAGAAATGCTGATCGCCGCTTTGGGGTCAGGAAGCAATTTTTCTCCAGGCCAGTTCGGCCGGGGGTCCTGGAGGTTTTTTGTCATCTTCTGGGTATAGAACGGGTCACTCGGGGTTTGGGGGGGGGGAGGTATTTGTGAATTCCCTGTCTTGTGCAAGGGGTTGGACTAGATGACCCCGGAGGTCCCTTCCAGCTCTATAATTCCATGATTCTAGAGGTGGTTTGCCATTCCCTGCCTCTGCATTGCAGCCCTGGACCGCCTTGGTGGTCTGACCCAGGGTTTTTTTTTGTAGAAAAAGCCCAGCAGGAACTCATTAGCATATTAGGCCACACCCCCGACAGCACAGCTCATTACCACATTAGGCCGCACCCCCATGTTGCCAGAAGTGTGGTCATCCAGCCACACCCACCTTTTGCTTCTTATTCTGTTTACCTTGTTTGTTGAGGGCTCTGCAGGCTGGGAAAGGTGCGGGGGGGGGGGCCCTCTGCAACTTACCTCCCTGCTTCTTGCTCCTCGTGCCCCGACAGGGCTGCTGGGAGCAGGGGGTGGGGCTTGCTGCATGTGCCTGCCCCCTGGGCTTGGAAGCCAGCCGGAACTCCGTTCCTGTGCGTTCCTGCCCAAAAATAGCCCTGGCTGACCCTTCTTAACTTCTGAGATATGACGAGATCAACCTAGCCTGGGTTATCTGGGTCAGCTTTACTACTTGCTGTGTTTAAAATCCTGCTTTCTCAGTGAGATCTGGGCAGTGGAATTCCAAATTTTTAGCATGTGGCTGCAAAAAGCGGCAGATTCTTGCTGGGACTTTACCAGATGCCCAACTCTGGTGGGGCGAAAGGTTATTTTTTCCCGGAATGTTGCGGGGGGGGGGGCACACACACAGAGCCTGGCATTCCCGCGGTGACACCTGGCTTGCCCCGGCTATTCCTCCGAAGTCATCTAAACAAAAGCCTCCCTTTCCCCCGAAGAGCTTCTCCTTTGCATACAGGTGCAAAGCTGTGATCTCTGCCCCTACCTAACAGCCAAATATTTACCTGGGCAATGTTTTCCCCTCCCTGTTATCTGGACATTTGTGTTTTCAAGCTGTTAAAAACAAGTCATAAAAAAACCATAGCGGGGCTTATCTTATCTCCGCTGGAGTGAGGAAGCAAAAAGGGGCCGGGGAGGAAGAGGCCACTCGAGAGACATTGCTTTCTCT